ATTCCTGGGAAGGGTACTGATGGTTCTGTATTTGTATGACTGAAGGGTTGATTTATGAGCAGTTCTTTTTCCCATCTGGCTTGTTTGTGTTCACAGTGTTCACTGTTTCTGAAAATACATGTCCATTACTATCACCACAGCTTTTTCATATAGTCAGATTGGTTTGATAAACTGAACCAGAGGTAGCCTGAACAGGTGGTCCATGTACAGCAATCTCACAGTCAAGCCCAGAGGAAACTAACCTTACACAGATACGGGGAAATGTTTCCTCCAAGGGGCAAAGAGCTCCAGTGACTCCCTAATGCCTACTTTGATATTATACGGCACCAGGGAGATTAGAGCCCAAGGTGTCTTAGGCAAGAGCCAAAGTATGCAACTCAATAGACAAGCTGTTTTCTCTTCATCATTAAAAGTATTCTCCTGACTTCTTATGTTTTATTTTTATGTTATTGTCACATCCTGTTTCCTTCTAACTTACCTTCTTTTTATTTCTTTAAAATGGGTACACTCTTGAGATTCCTAAGATAGTAGTTAAAGGAAAAGAGAGAGTAAGATGAGTATAATGTTGAGGATAAATTGGATTTTCTTTTTCTGTGTTTTAGATATGTATCATCTTCATCCAAGTTTGTACTTCACTCCCTGCTTCCACAATTTACCCATCTCTGTTCTCTGTAAAGTCGCTAGACGTTTTCAAAACATAAGTAAGGTACAGGCCCTGCCCTGTTCAAAACTCTCCAATCTCTTATCATGCAAAGAATCAAATCCCAAGTCTCTGCTCTGGTTTACAGGCCACCATTCGCACCTATCTCCCAACCCTCTCTCCCTAAGCTCCTGCCACACAGGCTGTTCCCTGAACACACCAAGACCCCAGGATTGCTCCTGCCACCACGTGACCTTTGTAGTCAAGGTCCCCTCAGCAGTTTTCACGTCTCCCTCCATCATATCATTCCCAAACCTTCTCTTGAAGGTTTTCTCCTCAGAGAAGTCCCTCCTAACCACAGTTCCAAAAATAGTATTTTGTCAGTACCTTTGATCTCTTTTCATACTGCGTATATCTTCATGTATCACTTAAATTTAGCTAACCGTATATCCCAATGGAGGTAACCTCCAAGAGGGCTTGGTGCAGAAGAGGAGCTCAATATGCCTGCTAAATGAATGCGTGCATTTGATGATTTGATTTCTTCTTGTAATTTCCTAATTGAAAGTCTTGCTGGATTATATTCAAAATAAGCCATCTACAATATATAGTTACCATTTGACTAATATTGTTAAATACATGTCTGTAAAATCGACAGTGTCCATTCATTGTGGATAAGAAAATGAACAGTTGATGCATTGTGGAATTCATCTCCTGGTTTGTTTGGCATTCCTCAGAGTGTTAGAGAAATCAGGAGTGTTTTTGTTTGTCTTTCTTTTAAGCCATACTTGACTATGGGAACAAAAGGGTGAGTTCAATTTTTTAAAACTCTTCTGTGTCTATCCTATTTTTTAAAATGTGTTTGCGTCTGATAAAGTAAGCCACATCTCATGAACGGCCATTGTTTTGAAAAGTCGCTTGATGTGATTTACTAGCTTCTTGGTCCCCTGCACATGTGAACTGGCTTACACACAGACACATGCATCTCTACCACTGTGTTGTCTAAACATTAACTTATAACGCGTTACCAATATGAAGCAGAAATTTTGGATCTCGGCAAGTTGATGATTTTTCTCTAAAATTTTAATTTTGTAAGTAAAACAAATGGTTTAATTTAGAATCTCTTTTTTTTCTTTTCTTTAAAGATAGAAGCCCTTATAGATTTAGGATTCTTTTCCGAAGCCTTTCATGAGATATCCCAGATTTTTTATGGAAAAAACATGCCTTCTTCAGTACCCGCTGGCTGTAAAGCTACTGGAAGAATGAAGGTAAACCTGCCAATTTGATTCAAAGCCATTTTTAACCTTTTGAAGGTCCTTTTGAAGGCTACATTCCTAGAATCTAGGGAATGCTTCCACAAAAGGGTATTTACACGTCTCGGGTACTGCAGACTTCTTTGTTAAGGCTGATTAGAGCTAACATCAGACATACACAAGGTTTCCTTTGTCTGAAATGGAAGAAGGGTGGGTGTCATGACGGGGAGGGGAGCGTGGTCTTGCAGTAGGTTTTTACTGTGGAATTTTGAGTTTGTGTTGTCATGGACAGTCTCAGTAGACACACTGATCAGCCGCTATCTCTGAGACTTTTGGGTCTGAGCTTATAATTTCTAGTTAATAGTCTTAGTCAAAATGGTCTCTCTTCATGTTTTATTTGGATATTTTGATTTATATAATTTATACCAAAGAGTTAAGCATATGTTCACATTTCTTCTGATTTTTGTGAGGAGAGAATGTTTCTCTATTTTGTCTAGTCTTTTTTGACTTTGGGAGAGAGTTCTACCTGGCTTGCTTAATTTGTATTTGTAAATTGCATGATTGAAGCATCCTTGAAAATGAATACTGACCTTTATATTTAAATCAGAGTGAGCTCTTACTGTCCTCTGCTTTGGTTTTTGTGGTGATCTGGGAATCCCTGGGTGATCTTGCTTGGGGCAGATGCTTGGGCCCTCATCCAAGGGCCAGCAATAAAGGAAATAGGAGGAAACAACAAGTCAGGTCCTTGGGAGAGACCATATGTGTGAGGAGTGAGACTGGCAGACACGATACATGCTGGTGGGATTCAAATTCAGAGGACCTAAAAGAAACTGTGGAATAGTTATGTCTTGAAAACTACTTGCATAGGCAGACATATTTACATGTAATGCATACATTACTTCAATGTATACCCCTAAAATGTTGCTGCTTTTTTCTCAATATGACTGCTACAGTGTTATAATTTATCGTAATGAGGTAAGTGTCAAGTTATCTACAGAAAATACTAAGAGGGACGTTCAGTAGACGACCAGATACGTGTGTGTATGTCTGTACATCTACAGTGGACCCTCTGTATCCGTGGGTTCCACGTCAGTGGCTTCAACCAACCATGGATTGAAAATACTGGAAAAAAATTCCAGAGAATTCCAAAAGGCAAAACTTAAATTTGCATGCTAGCAGTTATTTACGTACCATTTACATTGTATTAGGCATTATAAGTAATCTAGAAATGATTTAAAGTATATGGGAGGATGCGCCCAAGTTATATGCAGATACTGTGCCATTTTATTTGAGGGGCTTGAGCATTGCAGATTTTGGTATGAGGGGTGGGGAATCCTGAAACCAATCCCTCACAGTTACCAAGGGACGACTGTATATTTATCTATCTAGCTGTCTATGTGGGAGTCAGTCATGTTTTTTGGTTCATTTTCTGTAGCACAAACTATTTCATCTTGTTACCTGGGTTAAATTAGCAGTATTTTCTTGCTTGCTTCTCAAGTAACAGCCTTTCCCTGTTGTAAAATAGTTTGCATTTTGTTATTTAAATTATATTTTAATTCATTTAAAAATATTTATTGAGTGCTGACTGAATACAGGCACTATTCCAGACATGGGAATAGAGCAGTAGAAAGATAAGAGTTATTGCCTTCCTGGAGGCATGTTACTATTGGACAGTCCAGTGAGGAAGACAAATAATAAACACATTAAGCACATAACTACATGTCAGATGGTGACATGCTCCGATGGACAATCAAGCTGAGTTGAGGGACAGGAAGTGACCAGAGTGGTGTGTAGCTGTTCTGTTGAGGGTGGTTTGGGAAGTCTCTCTAATAAGGGAGTGAAAGGTTTGAGGGAACAACCTTCCAAATAGGAGGCGGTGCAAGGGCAAAGGCCTGTAAGATGTGGTTGAGGAAAACCAGGAAGGCCACGTGAGGCTGGCTTAGAGGGGAGGAGGAGAGTGGCAGGGCCCAGGAGCCGGCTGGTGTCGGACGGCGCAGGGCTGGGGGAGGACTGGAGTGTACTCTAAAGGAGACGGGAGACCTTGTAGAGCTTTGAACAGAGGAGTGATGGGGCAGGAAGTAAGTTTCAAAGAACCGCTTTGCTTGCTGTTTGGGGAATGGGCTGTGGATGAGCTTGGGTATAAATAGGGAGACCAGGGAGAAAGCCTTTGCCAGTGACCTGAGTGAGATGTGGCAGTGGTCGGGGTAACAGTGGTGGGAGGAGTGAAAAGTGGTAGAATTCTGGGCACATGGCAAAGGTAGAGCTGACAGCATTTGCTAATGGTGGTTGAGACGTGGGATGTAAGAGAAAGAAGTCAGACCTGACTACAGAGTGTTCAACGTGAGCAGCAGGTAGCAAAGAGTTTTCATTGACAGAGATGGGGAGTCCCGCTGCCCCAAAGCAGGGGTAGAGTGTGTTAAGTGTGAGATTCCTAGTGGACACGCAGGTGGAGATACAGCCCAGGTAGGTGCAGAGAGTATATGTTCCGGAATTCAGGGGAGAGTTTGAAGCTGCAGGTAAATTTGGGAGCATCGGCAGAAATTTAAAGTCATGGGACTGGGGGAGAGCAGCTGGGGACCAAGGCAGATAATGAAAAGTAGAAGGCAGAGGACTGACACTTGGGGCCCTCCACATTTAGGGTCCGGAAGACAAAAAGGAAAGGGAAGCCCGTTGGGTAGAATAGGAAAAAAGAGAGTTTTCAATGGTTACTGCTTTCACCAAAACAAATAGACAAGTGGTCTGAAACTCATTTTTACAGATAAATTCCAAACTTCATTTTTTATCAACTAGTTTTCGTAAGACAAAAGTGTGGGCGAATTGTTTCCTGATGGATTATGACTTCAAATTTTGTGTTCTCAAAGTTAATTTGCAGCTTTTCCAGCTTCAGTTGGGAATTTAAAAAGTGTAATTAAAAGAGGAAGTGCATTCAGGGTTTAAAATTAAAATAGGTGCCAATGTTATTAGGCTGCAGGCTAGTTATTTAAAGACAGGATTAATGAATTAAACTTCAGTTGTAAAAGCAGTTACTGGAAAAGTCTTACAGATTATGACTGAACTTTTTTTTTTTTTTTTTTGCAGTACTCGGGCCTCTCACTGTTGTGGCCTCTCCCGTTGCGGAGCACAGGCTCCGGACGCACAGGCTCAGCGGCCATGGCTCACGGGCCCAGCCGCTCTGCGGCATGTGGGATCCTCCCGGACCGGGGCACGAACCCGTGTCCCCTGCATTGGCAGGCAGACTCTCAACCACTGCGCCACCAGGGAAGCCCTATGATTGAACTTTTCACAGGCTTTTAAAAAAATTCTATTTTTTTTATAATATACTCATTTCGATTCTGCTCTCATCACCAAATCTAAAGTCCCATCATTAACTCTCTTCAAATTATATCACCAAAGGTCTCTCCCTGGATTCAGTTACTCACTTTTCAATGTGTTAAAGGAAATAAAGAATATCTTCAAAAAAAGAAATGTTTTTAAACACTCACCAACACTTTCTTCCGATAAGAGCAATATGTGATGTCTTGATTTAAGGCTTCCTCAAAAGCAGATCCTGAGACAAAGATTTGGGAACAATTAGTGTGTTTGTGAGATGATTCCAGGAAGAACAGTGAGTGAGTGGGAAAGTCAGACAGGGAGATGAGGAAAACCACTCCACAGAGCATTAATGAGATCCCCGCCACGGGCAGGTGGGGCCTGCAGAGAGACTGTCTCTTGCCCCTCATTCGTAGGGGTTGCTCCCTGCACTTTCAGCCTCTCCTGAAACTCTCCTGTGGCCACAGAATGCCCTCAGTCAAAGAGGTACAGGTGCTCGAAGTAGGATACCACGCACATATGAGTGGCCTGTTCATGGAAGATGCTGGTGACTTCCAGGTGACCAAGAGGATGTGGATGTGGTATTAGTATTGACATCTAAGAATGGGCACCTTTTAAAAAGGGCAGCTGTGGGCTTCCCTGGTGGCGCAGTGGTTGAGAGTCCGCCTGCCGATGCAGGGGACGTGGG